TATGATGACGTCATAACCGACTCCATTCGGGACCAAACAAATTTATATGTGATATCTTCGACTTATGGTAATATCGATTTTGGGTATTAGATGAAATAAAATTAATTTTAATTTTTTCAGTCTCTGTAGAGGTACTTTGCCACCTGTGCGACACCCTTTAACCGTCTCCAGGGGGTGAGACTGAAAAACCCGTTTATTTGATTTTTTAAAGGACCACCCTAATGTACATATGGGTCGGCATTTAAAGTACAAAACCGTTTATCAAGAGAATGCAAAACTTCGTATAGCAGAGGCCAAATAAAAGTAGCAAAATTCAAAAGGATTTTAATTGCAACCACGGTTTATTTACTGATTTTCAACAATTTTCATATAAAATATAGTTCGATCTATAGCAGGAACCACAAAAATAAATAACTCAAAAATTGCACAAAGTTCACAAAAATTAGTCAAACTTCAAAAAATGTTCGTCAAAATTTCAAACTTTATGTTTAAAATTTTTCGAAAACGTAACGTATAAACAAAATCTATTTTTACAAGCTTTTATTTAACTCTGCTCTGTATGTACGTATGTAGTTATGTATATATGTACGTATGTTTGAAATCAATTTTTGCCCAACTTCCCGANAAACAAAATCTATTTTTACAAGCTTTTATTTAACTCTGCTCTGTATGTACGTATGTATGTATATATGTACGTATGTTTGAAATCAATTTTTGCCCAACTTCCCGATGACCTAAAGACTTGAAGCTTCACAGTTGGCTCAGAACCCAGTGACAATGCAATACGAAAGATGAATTAAAGCGATAGGTGGCGCTGGAGTCGATATATTTGTAAATCCCGTATTTAGAATGCGATTTGGTTCATATTTAGAACGTATATCAACTACATGAAAATGAATAACTTCACTAAAAAATTTGCCGATAGGTGGCACAAGAGTCGACATATTTGGTAAACCAGTATTTATGGTTCGATTTCGTTCATATTTACAAAGCTTGCTTTAAAAATATTTGTGTTTACAATTAACTTGTTATATTGAAAAAATACACAACACCCCCGACAAAAAAAAATTCTAAAAAATCAACGGTAATTTTCAGTAACCTGAAACATGCACTTCTTTCTACTAAAATTGAATCGGCCACAAAACTGCATACTCGAAAGTTTTCTAAGCATTCTGAATAAAAAGTTTGAAACTTTGTTTGAAGTTTGATTCAATTTTGTGAACTTTGTGCAATTTTTGACATTTTTATTTCTGTCGTTCTTGACCCCATACAAATTTTGTTGCGAGGTCAAGTGGACATCCAATACCTGATTCAATTTCCAATGCTGATTTTCAAGTGCACCTCAATTGGGGAACCAACCCGTTCTCAGACAAAATGGCACATTTTTGGTGTGCAGAATAATCTGAGATCCCCAATTGAAAAAAGTTTGGATATCAATTTGAATTCAAACTTTTTCAACTCTTAAATTTTTCATTTTTAAAATTTTTGAGTAAGCAGTTTTGTAGCCCATTAAATTTTTGTATGTACAAAAAACCGAAATACACCACACAAGCGGGTTGACATGTTGTTTATGGGGGTGTTTGAAAAACCGCTTGAGGGAAATTTGAACAAAAATCAAAATTTTTAGATTTTCTGGCCGCCATATTGACGCAAAATGCAAGGTGAAAAATTAGCTTTTCATTGAGCAGCATTTACTGAAAGTCGGAGTGAGAACGTGTGCGTCGAAGACTGTCATCTTGTTTGCCAAATACAAAATTCTTCTTATCTTCGACCTAAGTCACATAAGTCACATATTTTGTAGGGTTCAAAAACATTAAATTTTTTGGTACATAAGGACGAAATCATTATTAGAAAGTGCACGTTTCAAGTAGCTAGGAATTACCGTTGATTTTTGGCATTTTTTTTCACGCAGTCTCTTCCATACAAATTTTTTTTTTTCGAAAATACTTTATATGGAAAAAATGCAAAACCCCTTCACCAAAAAAATTCTCAAAAATCAACGCGGTTTTTGACTAACTCCGAACTTGCATTTTTTTCACTAGAATTCAATGGGCTGCAAAACTGCATACTAAAAAATCTAAAAAAAAATCTGATTAAAAAGTTGAAAATTTGATGAAAATTTGCTGAATTTTCGCGAGTTTTGCACAAAGTTTTTTTTTTTTGTTGGAAGTGTTTTCCATTTTTTCCATATAAAGTATTTTCGAAATTTTTTTTATCGAAGAGACTGCGTGAAAGAAAATTGCCAAAATCAACTGTAATTTGTAGCTACTTCTACTTTAATACAATAAAATTGATTAGGCTACCAATCTGCATACTCTAAAAAATCTGATTAAAAAGTTGAAAATTTGCATGAAAATTTGCTGCATTTTCGCGAGTTTTGCACAAAGTTTAGAAATTATATTTTTATGTGTTTTGGTTTTCGAATAAATCACATATTTATAAAAAATTGTCGGAAAAATATTGCAATAAAAACAGTTGCATATATTGTAAAAAAAAACAGCAGGCAATACGAGTAAAAAAGCAGTAAAAAATTGTTTTTTTTTAGGCGTTCGTTGTGGCATATCTTTTACGTCTGGCGCTTTGTTGGCAAAGTTATAAATGTCACGCAAAGACACAAAGTTTTATCTGGCATCAGCTTAAGGAACTAAAATCTTAGGAACTTCTCAACAGAGAACGAAACGGTAACAAATTTTTTCTGAGCTTATGCGAGAAGAATGGAAGCGAGAAAAAAATTCACAAAGCATTCATTAGTTTAAAGTGTTTAAATATTTAAGATAATCAAAATGGAACTGAAATATAAACGAAAGACTTAAGACACCAACTGTTCTTCCGCAGAAAATGAAAAATTGTTCCGTAAATGGACAGTTGACCCTAATGACACACGATCTGGAAGTTGAAATATTCCAGGATCCTCTGGCTTAGAATTAAAAATCGTGATTCTCACTGGAACGTTAAGTTCTCAAGACTTTTTTCTCACAACGTTCCCCAGATTTTTTTTTTTTTTTTTCTTACTTGATCTTTTTTGAAAACGTTCTCGATACTATAGTTCTCCCATTGGAAACGTTCCCGAAAGTTTTGTGCGCATTTCGTTCTTTACGGAACTCCTCCCAAACCTTTTGTTCTCATTTTGTTCCCGTTCAAACTGCACTCATAACGTTTGCTCCCATTTGGTTCTTTTGTGGGAACGTTCTTGATATTACATTTTGTTCTCAGGCAGAACTAAACCAAAATTGAAATGCGTACTCCTTGCCTGATTAATTCGTATTTAGAAATCTATAAATATATAGTAATAAGATGCGAAAAATAATCGTTAAGGCTAAAGTGGTTTTTAGCATCATAAACTCATTTCATTGCACGCATTTGTAAGCCAGCTCTCGATATACTACATACCTGTAGGCAATTCTTTTTTCTTGGTCACTCACTGAACTAAAAGGCCGCAATGAATAACAGTAGCGTATAGTAATGGAGAATATGAAAAAAAAACGCAAGATTGATAGAATACCTAGTGTAAAAAACAGAATTAGCATAACAAAACAAATACATAAAAAATATGTGGCCACAAAATGAAATCGACTCACGGTAGATATATGTGAACATACATAGATACATATCGTTTATCGTTTAATAATACAAAACCGCGATCAAGATAGTGCAAAACCGTGTATGTTAGGTTGCATAAAATATTTTCTAGATAGTAAAAACACTCATATTTCAAAATGGTCTTCTTTTTTATAAAGCAATCGCATTTCTTGCTAGTATTTTGCAGGACGAATGGAAAAAAATTGAGCCAAGAGCTTGTGTGAGCAAATCCAATTTTTGGCAGCAAATGTCAGTTACGCGGTTTTGCTGAATGACGATACGCGGTTTGTACTTTAAATGCCGATATGCAAGAATGATAGAATGCATCGTGACTAGCATTTGTTGACTTGGCCAAAAGAGACAAGCAAGTAGATATGCGGAAATTAATCAATAAATTCGCGACAGTGCAGGGTCAACAGCAGACAACCGAATACGTTTTTTCAATTAAAGCGAATTTTAAGCTTAATTTCTGACCTTAACAGCACTATATGCGTACTAAACAAAGTACATATATAGGTAAGTACTTACATCTAGCCCTAGTCTAAATTAAAATTAAACTGTACGATTGATGTTATACAATCGAAACGTTTTGATCGTTGTAGGTACTTTCCCCATGACCTTACAAAAATGTGACGAAAATTTCCATTAACATCAAAATACACATACATATGTAGGTATGTGCTGAACATTTGCTATCCAAAATAGTCAACCAGTGCAGGTTTACTTATAGGCTTTAAACTTTGGACTTTTATTTACCTGTTGATTTTGTTGCGGCCGCAAATTCGTTAACTTATTGACAAAACGTTCTACGCACAACTTTTTTGCCAAATTGCGAACAACTTCAGAGGAATTTGAAGAAATGTCCCAAATATATTTCGTATTGAACCACACTCTTATTAGCACTATGGGATTCGTAAAAGCACTTAATTACTGACCATTAGTTAGCTTAATTAAAAAAAAATCATTAAACAGTCAACCTTTTTAGCGCACCACAACGATTATGCAAACACCAGCACAAAATGACAACACTCGATTTTTGACGTTGCGCCGTCAGCTGTCATTTTGCTGTCACTTGATTCGTGCAAAGCTGGATGCAATTGAAACAAAACTTAACGAAAACCTGTGTTGTAAAATGTAGAACTATTAATTATGGCCGGTCGGAGAGATGTTATTTTCCTCTTTCTTCCTGTGCCAACAAATGTGTTTTGCAAGCCCCTTGTGCAGGGGGGACGAAACTCCCTGTGCCCGGGTGGGTAGTTCTGCCAAAGAACGTAAATCTATAGATTTGCTTCTTTGATATAAGCAAAAACCTTTTCAATCTCGAAACTGAACGATTGAATCGTTGCAACCCTGTGTTCTTTCCATCAAGTTGTCAGTACTGTTTTTGACTTTTCCTTTTGTACCCGCCTCTGACGTATACGTGCGTATGTGTGAGTGTGTGTGCAAAGTAGACGGCGAGCGCATATTTTCATTGTCCGTCAAATTTCTTTTTAAAATTTCTTCAAGATAATTAAAATTTTGAAATTTCAAAACTTCTTCATAAAATACAATTTCCATTAGCGCAAGGGAGCGAAAGTTCAATATAGAAAGGAACTTGGGGTAATGAAAGATTTCTAAAGTGTTTTTATGTAAATTCATGATGAAGCAACAGTGACTCGGTGTTAAGCCAAGAAGCAGTGCGTGAAAGAATACATACATATGAGCAACAAGAAGGCCGAAATAAGTGAAACAAGTAAAAATTTAATTCAATTTCTTGGTGCTATATACGTGAAATCGACGCAGGTTAGCGTGAATAGAAGTTAATGTGAATTGAAAATTAATTATTTATTCGAAGCATTTTCGCAAAAAGAATTAACGAGCAGAAGCCAATCAGTTTAATACCTAAATGCTATGTGTGACTTAACAGTGGAAACATTCGAGTTAGTGTGCCTTAAGTTAAGCGGTAGACGTAATCTACTAGTTGTGAAAGTTCCAATGTAGATGATGTAGATGCTACCAAATATGAGGGGAATTTCTGATCGACATACCAATTGAAAACGCAGTTACGACAAAGAATTCTGCAGTTAGTTTTGCTCGGAAGTTGGATTCCGCAAGTGGTTTCCGCCGCGTAACTGCAACGCATCGCGTACGTCGCTTCTGTTTTACTTGTATTTAGCAACGTCTCGTGACCTCATCAGATCGCCGCCAACGTCTGCAACACCTTCCGACTAACCTACCAACATTTGAACAAGTAATATTCAAACATACCTTTGTATAGGCAGCCCGACAAGCAAGCACAAAGCCGTGGCGCACTTGGGATTTGCCGTTGTTCGCGATTCGGTTTTATTTACCTCAATTTTTATGTATTTATATTACCCACGTCTTACGTATGGCTGTAGTATAGCTTGTTCGTCTCGCTTCTCGTCCATGGCTTGCTTGCCTTTCTGCCTGACAGAATGAATGGTTACTTGGTTGGTCTGTCGCGTTGTTGGTTGGCTAACTGAGTGGCCCACCGACTTACGGCTTTTGCCTCTTGTCTCTGTTACAGTATTGTCTTCCGTTTGTTTCAACTCCGCTCGACTGTGCTTCGTAATTCTACAGTTGAACTGCTGAGCTTGCAGGTAAATTATGCAAATATTTAAAATAAAATACACACATTTGTACTTATTAATATATGTAAATATGTATTTGGGGTTTATACTTCACTTAAAAATATTACTTGCTGCAATTACAAGATGGTTTTTGCTTTGTATTCGGCTACGCCGGGTATTTCAAATTTTGGAGATAATATTTTTGGTGTGTCTATGACTAAAGAGCACGTCAGACGTGGCAATGCAATATATTTCGAAAAGGCTGTCAAATTGAGAAATTTCAGAAAGCAGTTGCAACTTATCTTTCTCAACTTGACAGCAATTGCGTGGAAAATTTGGAAATATGACCACGTCTGACACGCTCTTAAGTTTCTATTAGCACAAAAGCTTTATATTAAAAAAGTAGAGAATACCTTTGTATATCGACGCCAGTCCGGTCTACGTAATCGGGATGGGCACGGGACAAAAAATTTCCATCCCAATCCCGCTCATCCCGAAATGGAATTTTTAAGTCTCGTCCCGCCCATCCCGACAATTTTTTAAATTGTACCGCGAGTCCCGAAATCTACCACTTAAGTTTAATTGACATGTCTATTTCATAAAACGTATGTAAGTGAGATTTCGTGAATTTACAGAGGTTGTGGGTTTTATCGGGATTGCTAGGAAAGGATTTTGATCCCGTCTCGCCCGAAAATTTTTTAAAGACCTTCCCGATACCTCCCATCCTGGCCATTTTGAAATCGGTGCCGTGGGTCTCGCTGGTCTCGCGAAACGACTCAGATTCATATCTAGCTAGGGGCTATAAACGCAGTATCATTCCCCAAAAACTCTGGGGAATTAGCATTCTGTTACAACAACAACCGGCTTATATTCAATGCCCTCTACAACTTTTACAAAAATCAGTTTCAGATATTAAAACCAAACTTATACTTAACTGTCATCGATTATATTAATTAAGTATATTAAGGCTTTTGTTACTTATGTCTTATTAAAATTTACTACTGGTTTAAAAAGTTGGCAATATATGCGTTTTTGTAACAGCATCCGCGTTTCCAAGAGTTTTTTGGTAGTGATGCTCAAGTGACATTTCTTGGCCATATATAAAAGTGGTTGGTCAATTTTTTATTAATTATTGTAAGCATAAAATTAATCTGTCGAAAAAATAGTAATAAAAAAAAAACGATTAGGCTATAACAGAAAATAAGCATATCGCTGTATAAAGGTGAAAAGGTACCAAATCAATTTTTTCAAAATTTAGTTTTAGATGCAGAATGATAGATAATGCTAAGCTACATCGATTTTCCGTATCTTCAAAATAATTTAAAGAAAGGACTTGGCACCTATTCACCTTTAGGTAGCGATATGAAATAATGATTTATAACTAAACTGTTCTTGTTCTATAAAATTCAAATGGANCGATTAGGCTATAACAGAAAATAAGCATATCGCTGTGTAAAGGTGAAAAGGTACCAAATCCATTTTTTCAAAATTTAGTTTTAGATGCTGAATGATATATAATGCTAAGCTACATCGATTTTCCGTATCTTCAAAATAATTTAAAGAAAGGACTTGGCACCTATTCACCTTTAGGTAGCGATATAAAATAATGATTTATAACTAAACTGTTCTTGTTCTATAAAATTCAAATGGAAATAGATTAATTTGTCAAAAACGTTTCACAAGTTGCGTGGCAGTGAAAAAGAAAAGTTGAGTATTTTTCTCAAAAACTTCATCTTGTAATAAAGAATCTAATTTTCTTAAAATCACAAAAATTTTCCAAGTAATTACTTGCTAGATGTTAATAGNAAAAGTTGAGTATTTTTCTCAAAAACTTCATCTTGTAATAAAGAATCTAATTGTCTTAAAATCACAAAAATTTTCCAAGTAATTACTTGCTAGATGTTAATAGAAAATCCTTTAATACTTAAGTAATGGAGAATTGATTACAATGATGTAAAGAAATTATAAAGTGAACAAATTTTCACTGACATTGTATTTTTCATTTTCTCTTCACCATTTCATAGAAGGAGAATTGACCTCCTGATAAGTTATGAAAAACAAGCTGCGCCTATTTTATTCAGGAAATAATTATTAAGCTCTTAAATTAAAAATTTTACATTTGTGCTTACGTAGGTACAATATGATGATAACTAAAAAAAATATATTTGTTTTCATTTCAGGCATAATTTGGCTATCAGCTCGGTACAAAATTTTAAAGTTAAAATTACGCGATATATTTTATAGTCCTTTGAAAGTTCGCAACGCCAACGAAAAGAGCTTAAAAACTGGCTTGTTACCCACCCGGCGTAAATTCAAATAGTGTAACCAACTACACGTGAGGAACACAAAAAGAAATTAAAGCAAATAGTACAATTACATATGTACATACATATATATATACAAACTGAACCGAATAAACAACAATAACGACTATTGTAGTCAAAAAAGCAGGAACGTGGAGCATTGAAACATTTTTTACTTATCTAAAACTAAAAAAAATAGACCTCAAAGCTGAACGAAGAGTTTTATCATTTGAAAGGTAGACTTACACACGCGTACTTAAGACCAGGTGCTTGCAAAGCGACGTATCGAAGGAGGAGAATCAAACGTTGCAATATTACAAACTCTTCAACAACAAACAAGTATTCAAAAGTTAAGACACACTTCCAGCTGGGGAGGGATAAGAAAAAATTCGGTATGCAGTAAGGGCAAAGTCACGACCATTAAACGAATTGGGAACGACAATAATAAGAAAAAAGTAACAAAAGCACAGTCATAAAAGTTGTGACTACATAGGAAGTGCACCGGAGAAACGCATCGAATTGTCTTGAAAGTGCCAAAAATCACGCTAAGCTCTAGCGACTAAACGCCGGCTTAAGTGGGCAAAGGTTGTACTCAACAATAANTAAGGGCAAAGTCACGACCATTAAACGAATTGGGAACGACAATAATAAGAAAAAAGTAACAAAAGCACAGTCATAAAAGTTGTGACTACAGAGGAAGTGCACCGGAGAAACGCATCGAATTGCCTTGAAAGTGCCAAAAATCACGCTAAGCTCTAGCGACTAAACGCCGGCTTAAGTGGGCAAAGGTTGTACTCAACAATAAGCAGACTAATTCCATTGTGATTGGATACCAGCACGAAAATTTGTCATCAGTTGTTTTATGTAAACAATAGACTAGAGGGAGACAGCGACCTACATATGTACATAAATATGTATATAGCATAAGCAGCTCACAAGCAGCATGCCCTAAATCAGATTATTTGTTTGCTAAAAAAATGTTTGTATATTCTTAGTGTGCCACTAAAAGTACAATTGTTGTGGTGTGGAAGAAATTTCCACCACAGTGATAGTGGCTACTTGTGTCTGAACTTTAGCGTGCTCTGCATCGTGTTGCGGAAGTGTGCTCTGTGCGGACAACTTTGTTTTAATGACGCTGCTGCCCGCATCACCCACATCATTGACGTTGTTTGAAAAAATATATATATTTAAATCGGCATTCACTGCCGCCGAGTGGCAGCTCAATACAAAAAACTCTCGACTGATGCTACTATGCGGTGGAGCACAGCGAAAACGATAAATAAGAGCAGCATTTACAACAACGATAGCAACATAAAAAAGACAATAATTAAAATAAATCCTTTTGTTTGTGTACATTTGAAAGCAAACCAAAGCAAATTGAATAAAAGTGAAAACCAACAATCTACATACGAAGCAGCATGGATGAGGAAAGGAAAAGACGGTGAGTTGAGTATGGATTTTCTTTATATGTGTTTATGCTTTGAAAATACATACTTACATATTTTTACATTAAATTCAGAATAGAACTTACTGCGGCCTGTTTCAAGAGCGACCCAACCACATTGAATACAAAAATTCTCTTACGTATGCCAGCTTATATGCATCTAGCAATGCTATGCCCGATTCCCTCTCGTACGCAAACAAATTTTAAGCTCCCGCACTCGCGAAATGTCCAGTCTTCTTCTACAAATATTTAATTTATAGCCCCAACCCAGAAGATAATTTGGGTAGGCCTTCTTTAGTGAAGCCACTCTAAGAGGCCACTCCAGAAGGGCTGAAAAGTGCTTCCTTGCATGCTTTCTAAAGGGGCTTGTCCATGTACCATTTACGCGAATGCATAAATTTATATTATTTAGCATTACAAATGGATTTCAATAAAGTTTTTAAGTTGCAATAACACATTTGATATAAACAAATCTTAAGCAAAAATGTAGGATTTTTATAAATAAAAGAAGAACTTTAAGAGAACTCCAAACTGCCTTCTGAAGTAGGTCCGATAAAAGCCCTTCTGGAAGGCCTTCTATGGGCAGCCAAAGAAGGAACCCTTCAATTTGTGCCACCCCATACAAAAACATGTAAGTTCGCCTGCGCCACACTGCAGAAGTGAAACTTACGTTACATATCTATTTTATCTCTTAACCAATATACATACATACATCTGCTTTTGCTTAAGGTTATATTTATTGTATTTTTTCATCCAGATCCCTACCTCTACCCCTGTTCGTTCTAATTACATTTATGTATGTTATTCTGTTTGCTTTCCTTTATCTTCATTTACATCTTTATATCTCTGTCCATAACAAAATCGATAGTAACATCCAACAAAATATCGATAACAAAACCAATAAATATATCGATAACTAACTCTATGGCGAATTCGATAGCAAAATCTATAATAATATTGGTAGCAAAATCGATTGGAAAATCGATAAAAATATAGATAACAAAATCCATAAAAATATCGACAAAAAATCGATAAGTAATCGATAACAATATCGATAAAAGTATCTATAAATAATCGATAACAAAATCGGTAAATAATCGATAACAAAATCGTTAAAAATGTCGATTACATAATTGATAACAAAATCGATTCGATAATTTCCGAAAATATCGATAGCAAAATCGATAACAAAACCGATAAAAATATCGATTGTTATATTGTTAAGTCTCGAGAATACCTAAAATCTCTAAAATCCCAAAATAGTTCCCAGATTCAGTCTCTGTGTCTCTATCTATATCCTTTTCTCTATAATTACCATTATTTTAATCTTTCTTCCGCTATCTTCATCTTTACTTTTATCGGTATCCTCATCCTCATCTTATTCTTTATATTTATCTTTGTTTTTACTTTTATGTTTATCATTTTCTTCATATATATACATATATTCTCCTTCACCTTTGCCCTTATACATATATGTAAGTAAAGTGTTTAAATTTACCTTGGTCTTAATTTTCGTCTTTATCTTTACGTCTTTTTGTATTTGTTTTAATTTTTTTCCTTTGCCTTTATCCTTTTCTTTATCTATGTGCATACTCACCTTTACTTACATTCTTGTATTGTATTGGTCTTTTTCTAAGTGTTATTCTTTAAGCTTTCATTAGCGAGTTTTTGGTAAATTAATACCATATGCATACACCCAAGAAGCACTTGTTTCAGCCCCAACCATTTCCGTTGCACCATTTCCATGTGGAATTTCCGTTGTATTTGCGAATTTAGGCCCAAAATACAATAATTCAGTGGCAGTGGCAGTGGCAGTTTTTCGAAATCAGCTGTTTTTTTTAGAAAGTGTGGTGTCCAATGAAGCGACTCACAATACAGCAGTGGCAGCTGGCAGTTACTTTGCTCCATATTACCCACACTGTTTTTTACCTTTGCTTGGTCTGGTCTTAGTATGTTTAAACTAACACCTTACCCGAAATCGGTTGTGTTTTAGAGGTCGGCAAACGCAAGCTCAAAAAAAATCTCGAAAATCAACGCGATTTTTTAGCAGGTCGAAACTTGCACTTTATTGTATTGTATGGGTTATAAAACTGCATATCCAAAAATTTTCTAAAAATTCAGATTTAAAAGGGGAAATTTTGATGAAAATTTGTTGAATTTTCTTAAGTTTTGTATAAGGTTTCAAACAGTTATTTATATATTTTTTGGTTAAATATTGGACGGTATTTTTTATAGAAAAGTAACAAAGTTTGCACAAGGTTCACAAAGATTAATCAAACTTTTAAAAATTTGTATACAAATAAGTAGTCTTTTATTCGCAATTTTAAAATTTAAAAGTTTTATATGCAATTTTGTAGGCCATTCAATTTAAGTATGAAATTTTGTCCATATTTTTATAATATTATTACTTATAAGCGAGCACTCACGGCGTGATGGGTTTATTTTAAAGCCAACCGCCATAATGACTTGACATCTAAAATGCCACAACAGTATATGAGGGTAGGAAAAAGAACCGCAGGTTAGCGCAGCTGAAACTTATATATTTTTCATGCTTAGTCATCAATTTATTAGTTATCAATATTTCAATTTAAGTTCTAACCTTTTAAAGTGAAAGAAAACGTTTAAAATATAGATATTATTTCCACAATTTGTAATTAAGTTAATTTTTATCGAGTGTTCGATCAGTTCAGTAAACTTAAGATAAAAGTATACAATTATCATAAGCGTATTGTAATATTCTAAATAATATAATATAAAAAAGCTAACATTACATTTTTGGTGAAAAAAGCACCTGTTGTTAGTATTTTACTTTTAAGGCTTATATTTCTTAAAACAGAGTTGCACTGGTACAATAGATATTCAGTCCCTATTCCAATAGGTGGGTGTATTAGGTAAATTTAATAATAAAAAATTTACTACCTACCGAAACGAAGCAGATTTACTCCTGACCTTCAGTGGCATTGCCCAAAAACTTTTTGGAACTGTTTCTTGCTGTTACAACCACTTTCTCTTATGTGCTCGATTTTCAATATTTTTGTGTAAAATATTGCTCAAATGTTTGGATAGAACCAACTAAGAACTTTACGGCGGTTTACCTTTAATACTTTTTAAGTATAAGCAGAAAACAACGAAAATTGTGCATCAAGTTTTTATATACCAAGTTTAAAATTCACAAAAAAAGACATTAGTCAGTAGCGCTGAAAGATTGAATGGAAATAAATTATCTTAAGCTTGATTATCCATTAATCTATTCATTTGGTCGATTTAATTGAAAATAATCCCAACAGTAAAAGAAAACAAAAAGTTGACGCAACTATGCCAAGCGTCGCTTTTTTTTTGGCTATACATACCTCAAAAGTAATAGAGAATGTTCACACTTACCTAAAATCGAAATTTCGTATGTATACATACATATACAATGGCGGCAGAAATACTAGACTCGGCATACTTTTAAAAATGTTGGCTATATTTATTTAGTTTATTTTATGTTTAATATTTTTTTATAAAAGCTTAGACAGTTATGCAACAAACACCATATAAATCCGCTTTTCAAACCTTGAACAAAAATTATAACAAGTAATTTTTAAGCAAAAAACAAAATCGACTTCAATCCTCATAAAAAAATATATGTATATATGATCCAGATTAGTATGGGACCATCTCTGACCTTTCCGATGCAAAAAGAATTATCGAAATCGGTTGACGTGGTCCAAAGTTATGCTGGTAACAAACAAACAAACAAAAAATAAATAAATAAAATAAACATATTCCGACGAACTGATAACCTCCTCCTTTTTTGGAAGTCGGTTAAAAATTCGACAAATTTTCACCAAATTTTCAAACTTTTTATTCAGATTTTTTTGGTATGCTGTTTAGTAGCCCATTCAATTTTAGTATAATAAAAGTGCAAGTTTCAATTGGCTACAAAATAATGTGTACCGCACTTTTCAGTACGATAATTCAAAGACGAGAAAATAAATTNCGTTGCGCTTTTAACAGGCATCTGTTGTTATCCCCCGGAAGTATTGAAGAGGGGGTTTAAAAAATATATATATTTGTCGATTTTTTTCGAATCAGTCTAATGAGAATGCATATGTACATATCGTCACCTGAAATGCAAAGAGACGTAATAATAAAAAATTCAAAATTCACTTTTTGATTGATATGTCCAGCATATTTCGTTGAATTACATATCATTTTATGAAAACAGAAAATTATTAGTCACGACTTTTTACATTTAAGTTACGATGTTGTTACGTCTTTTTGCTTTTCAGGTGACGATATGTACATATGTATGTCCGTATATGTATATATGTATGTACATACATACTTAATTATATTTTAAGTATCCATTTCAACTAAAGTGCAAATTTTGGCTTTGCAATGTGCAAATTAAGTAATCTTACTCCGTAAGCCAAACATTTTCTCACGAATTAAGAAAATGAATACGATTCCTTTTACAAATAAAAAAATGCAAAATGAGATTTAAGGAATTTGAGGCAGGAAGGCATGGCACCCCATTTATGTTAAAAATAAATCAAATTTGCTAAAAGCTGTAGACTTGTTTTGACGAAAGGTTCAAATAATTAGGTTCTGTTGAAAACACCTACACTTGTGTTCAGCTGATTAAGTCATCAACATTTTGATCAATTTTGGCTATTTTTATTTTGTTCATTTAATGTTTATTATTTTTCCATAAAAGTCTAGCTCATTTTATAAACAAACACCATATAAACCCACATTTCAAACTTTGTGCAAAAATTATAAAAAATCTGCAAAGTTTCAGCCAAATTAAAAAAAGTTGTCAAATATATTTTGTATGGAAAACAATTTGTAAAACAGCCAGAAAATAATTATTAA